ACCATGGTGGAGCCAATCTCAGGACCCTGAGATCATGACCTGAGCCGAAATCAAGAGCTAAATTTTGTCATGTTTTCATTTCCACTCAGTTCACAATATTTCATAATTTTCCTTGTGATTTCTTTTTTGGTTCATGGATTATATAGAAGTTGTTTGATTTACAAATATTTGGGAATTTTCTAAGCATTTCTCAATTATTGATTTATAGTTTAATTCCATTGTAGTCAGAGAACATACATTTTTTTTAAGGATTTATTTATTTGAGAAAGTGTGATTTGCTCAGGGGGAGGGGCAGAGGGAGAGAAGCCAAACTTCCCGCTGAGTAAGGAGCACCCATGAAAGCTCTATCACACGATCCTGAGACCCTGAGATCATGGCCTCAGCTGAAATCAAGAGTTGGTCACTTAACTGAGCCACCCAGGTGTCCCATTATATGACTCTAATCTTTGTAAATGTATTGATATTTGTTTTAAGGCTCAGATTATTGTTCTTTTTTTTTTTTTAAGATTTTATTTATATATTTGAGAGAGAGAGACAGAACACAAGCAGGGGGAGGGTCAGAGGGAGAGGAAGAAGCGGGCTCCCCACTGAGCAGGGAGCTGGATGCGGGGCTCAACACAGGACTCCATCCCAGGACCCTGAGATCATGACCTGAGCCAAAGGCAGACACTTAACTGACTGAACCACCTAGGGGCCCCTCAGATTATTGTACTATATGCATTTGGAAATAACATGTGTCCTGCTGTTGTTGTTGGATGAGGTGTTCTATAAATGTCAATTGAGTCAAGTTGGTTGATAGTATTTTTCAAAACCTCTAAATCCTTACTTATTTTTTCCTACTTCTACCAATTCCTGCAAGAGAAGTGTTGAAATCTCTAACTATAATTGTGGATTTATCCATTTCTCCTTTCACTTCTATAAGTTTTTTTTTTCTATATTTTGAAGCTCTTTTATTAGGTGTATGTACATATAGGATTATATCCTTTTTAAAAAAGATTTTATTTATTTATTTATTTGAGAGAGAGAGCATGAGCAGGGGGAAGGGCAGAGGGAGAGGGAAAAGCAGACTCCCCACTGAGCAGGGAGCCTGACATGGGGCTCAACACAGGGCTCAATCCCAGGACCCTGAGATCATGACCTGAGCAGAAGGCAGACGCTTAACCGACTGAGCCACCCAGGTGCCCCGGATTATATCCCCTTTATTAATTGACACCTTTATCATTATGGAATGTCCCTCCCTTTTTATCTTTGCTAATATTTCTTATTCTAAAGTCTGATATTAATATAGCCACTCCAGCTTTCTTTTTGATTAGTATTAGCATGGTTTATCTCTTTCTGTCTTTTTACTTTTAACCTATGTGTGTCTTTTTATTTAAAGTGTGTTTCTTATAGACAGCACTTAATTGAGTCTTGGGTTTTTCGTTATTGAACCTTACAATCTCTCTCTTTTAATTAGCTTTCTTAGGTCATTTATAGGTAATCTAATTATCAGTATGATTGAGTTCAAAAGAAAGAAGAAAGGGAGGAAGCAGAGGAAGGAGAGGAAAAAAGGAAAGGACCCCAGATCGGGAATCAGGAAAACAGGGTGAAGTCCTGACTTCCCAGCTCTGTACTTTAGGTAAATCTCATAACTCCTCTGAGCCTTAGCTGGCTCATCCATGTTTTTGTTTTGTTTTGTTGTGTTTTAAAGATTTTATTTATTTATTTGACGGAGAGAGAGAAAGCACAAGCAGGTGGAGTGGCGGGCAGAGGGAGAGAGAGAAGCAGGCTCCCTGCTGAGCAGGGAGCCCAACGCAGGCCTCGATCCCAGGACCTTGGGATCATGACCTGAGTAGAAGGCAGATGCTTAACTGACTGAGCCACCCAGGCGCCCCTCATCCATGTTTTTAAGGACAAATAAGTTATTTGTAAACTACAACATGCTCTGAAATCTTAAGGGATTAAAGGACTATCCAGTGCCAGATGTATAGATAGAGAGGTGTCTGTAAACCAGGGTATGAGTGCCTCAAGGACAGAACTAGGTCTCATCATTTCTGTATTTCTAGCACCTAGGCCCAGGCTTAGCATGTAGAATGTTCTTAATAAGTGTTCATTGAGTGAAAGAGGCAATAAAAGAGCTAACTTCGAGTATATGAATGAATGATGGTTTTTGAAAGATGGGTGTCAGGTGACAAGTTATTAAATGGCCATGACACTGCTGAGAACTGAACTTACAATATTTAATTCCTTATCTGTTAATTGGGAATACTTTTAAGTAGCATGGAAGAATAATTTGCAACTATATGTATTTGTTCTCACGTATGCATTCATTCAACAAGTGTTATATTAAGTGCCTACTGTGTGCCAGGCTTGGTTCTAGGTCCTGGGCATACAACAATGTCCATTTTAGACATTTGTTTCTAAAAGCCATCTTGCAATAGTGATCACCTTCAGTAAGTAAAAGTGCTGAAAGAGCCTTGGTCCCTGGTGCAAATGCAAACATATCACCATTCGTTATTGATTGGCTCTAATTTTTAAAACCTTTTCTTTGGGCAAAGAACTTTTTCTAATTTCTTCTTCCTATTTTTAGCCAGTAATATTTAGTTTGGTAGCAGAACATTTAAGGACTTAAGAAAAAAAACAATAGGTCAACACAGGACGCCTGGGTGGCTCAGTAGGTTAAGCATCTGCCTTCAGCTCAGGTCATGATCTCTGAGTCCTTGCTCAGCAGGGAGCCTGCTTCTCCCTCTGTCTGCCACTCACCCTGCTTGTGCTCTCTCTCTCCCTGACAAATAAATAAAATCTTTTAAAAAAAAAACCAACCCACAATAGGTCGACTTAATATATATTAGGTAATGGATAAAAAGCTAGATAACCAAGCAGTTGACAAGGAGCCATTCTTCTAATCAAACTGATGATGTCACTGGAGAAAAGGTCAGTTGGAACCTGATGCCCGGCAGTTACAGGGAGCTGTGGCTAGGCAAAGGGTACTCAGGAACCACGCTGGAGCCCTTAACCCCAAAGCAGCTAGCATCACATGTCCAGGCCTGGGTACCAGAGACACAGGACATCCTTGCAACTAACAGGGTGATCCAAAATGGAGAAAGACAGGCCTCCACAGTTGATGACCCCTGCATCGGTGAAAGCCATCATTTCAAAGATTGAGGCTGCCCAGTTAACACGGGCTCAGGAGGTAACACCTGAAATGAAGGAGTCACCCTTCTATTGGGATCTGATGTGGAGACTGGGATCTGATCCTAGATTGGGGCAAGTGTCCAGCTCTGGGCCTTCAGGAGTCGTGGGATCCTCAGCAAGCTGGGTTTGCTGACAGATTAATCCAAAATATCCATCTTCTAGACTTGGCCTCTAAAGGGCGAGCTGGAATGAAACCACCCCCGTGAGACAGGGCACAGGAAGGGAACAGCCCATAAGGATGGCCCTGAGACACATAGTGATAGGTCTTACCAGGGCAAGAAGAGGGGCCCAGAGTTCCTGATTCAGGTCTGTTCTTGGCCACCTGTCAGAATCCTTCACGCTAAGCCCTAGAAGCTTACAGGGAAATGGCCAAAGGCTGAAATCACCCTCACGCGAGCCTCTAGTGTGTATTTTTTATGGGAGCCTCTGATCCTAAGGGTTTCTTAGGGCCTCATTTTTTCAGTCTGTTGCTTCTGGATCCTATTGAGATGTCCAGAAGTCCCTAGAAATTTTTGAAATTCTGAAGGAATGTGTGCTCTGGATTTTTAGTATTCTCTCCCTTCCTGACCTGGTCTTAATCATCAAAGTGACATTAAGAAGAGCTAACACTTACTTTATGTGCCAGGCACTGTCCTAAGTACTTTACAAATATTAATTCATTTAATCTTTTCAAAAACTCTGTGACGTTGGTACCATGACGATCCCCAGTTTACAAGTAAGAACACTAAGGCCCCAAGAGGTGAACTGACTTGTCTGAGATCACACTACCAGTACATGGTATCTGGCGCCAGAGATCACACCCCTAAACAGTACAATCTACTGCCTCCCATATAGGATATTTCTTCCCAGCTCTCAGACATCTTGGACAACGTCAACTGTGTCATCAACCGCTTCCAGGAAGAATTAGGATATGATTTAAAAGAAAAGGCAAAATCTGACCAGACAGAGCAAAAGGGCAAGAACAGATTCATCTTGCTGGAGAAAATTGCCTCCTTCTCCAAAGATGCTAAGGCCAAAGAGAAGCACTTGTACGAAATTCTCCGCTGGCTGGGTGACTGGGGTGAGTTTGCAGCCTGGGTGCCCCAGGGCGGGCACTTCCCCGCTGGACACTGGTTCCACGCTCACTCCTGTCTCCTCCTTTCCCCACCCCAGGCCAGCTCTCACTGGGAGGGGAATGTGGGGCAGCAGGTGCAGTGCCTCCCCACTGAGACCTTCCCCCGCTCCTGTCACAGTGATCACATCCACTCCCCAGAGGGAAAAACATGTAATTGTCCAGAACATAGTAGATTGTGACGTTAGCTGCATGTGTGATGAAGCTAAGTCACAGGTCCATTGTGACATCTCATTTTTTAGCAGGGCTGAAACTAAATTCAAGCCCATGCTGTTTTATTTTTATTTATTTATTTATTTTTTAAAGATTTTATTTATTTGAGAGAGAGAGAGAGCACATGAGAGGGGGGAGGGTCAGAGGGAGAAGCAGACCCCCTGCCGAGCAAGGAGCCCGATATGGGACTCGATCCCGGGACTCCAGGATCATGACCTGAGCCGAAGGCAGTCTCTTAACCAACTGAGCCACCCAGGCGCCCCTATTTTATTTTTAATTTTTCCAGATTTATTGAGATGTAATTGACAAATAACATTGTGTAATTTAGAGTGTACAGTGCGATGATTTGATAGACATATATGTTGTGCAAGGCTTGTCACAATCAGGGTAGTTAACACATCCATCATCTCACAAGTTACCCACCCCCCTTTTTTTTTCTGGTGAGAACATTTAAGATCTACTCTCTTAGCAAATTACAAGCATACAGTATGGTATTGTTAGTATAGTGACCACACTGTATATTAGATCCCCAGAACTTTTTTATTTTTTATTTTTTTTTAAAGATTTTATTTATTTATTTGAGAGAGAGAGAATGAGAGACAGAGAGCATGAGAGGAGGGAGGGTCAGAGGGAGAAACAGACTCCCTGCTGAGCAGGGAGCCCGATGTGGGACTCGATCCCGGGACTCCAGGATCATGACCTGAGCCGAAGGCAGTCGCTTAACCAACTGAGCCACCCAGGTGCCCCAAGAACTTTTTTATTTTATAACTGAAACTTTGTACCCTTTGGCCAACATTTCCCCATTTCCCCCACCCCCCGGTAACCACCATCTACTGTCTTTCTGTGAGTTCAGCACTTTAGATTCCACATGTAAGTGAGATCATATAGTGTTTGTCTTCCTTTGTCTGACTTATTTCACTTGGCATAATACCTTCAAGGTCCATCCATGTTGTGACAAATGGCAGGATTTCCTTTGTTATGACTGAATAATATTTCATTGTATAAAGGTACCTGGCTGGCTCAGTTGGAAGAGCATGTGACTCTTGACCTCAGGGTCATGAGTTCAAGCCCCACATTGGGGGTAGAGATTACTTAAATGAATAAACTAAAAAAATAAATATTTCATTGTATATACCACATTTTCTTTAACACTCATAGATCAACTGACACTTAGCTTGGTTTTATATCTCAGCTCTTGTGAATAATGTTTCAGTGAACACGGGCATACAGATATCTCTTGGAGGTAGTGTTCCATTCCTTTTGGACATATATCCAGAAGTGGGTTTGTGGGATCATATGGTAATCGTATTTTTAATTTTTAGAAAAACCTCCATACTGTTTTCCAAAATGGTCGTACCAATTTATATTCCTACCAGCTGTGCACAAGGGTCCCCTTTTCTCCACATCCTCACCAACACTTGTTATCTCTTGTCTTTTTCATAATAGTCATCCTATCAGGTATGAGGTAATATCTCCTTGTGGTTTTAAATTGTGCTTCCCTGACGATGAGTGACATTGAGCACCTTTTCATGTACCTGTTGGTCATTTGTAGGTCGTCTTTAGAAAATGTCTCTTCAGGTCCTTTGCCTTTTTTTTCATATACGTATTTAATCATAGGGTTGAAAGGAATCATAAATATAATCTGGCTCTTCATCCTTAATATTACAAATGAGAAAATTAAAAATAACAAAAGAAGTGTGTCCAAATTGGTGTCTTTTAAATGCGTCATCTCTAATGTTAGTGTGCCCTCGATATCTCTCAGGATACATATTTTAATATTTGTCTGGTGCTGTTGGCCCCTGCCTCCTGCTCTCCCTCCCTTCAGGGCCATTGACCCTTGTCACTTTCACTAATCCTCCTTTACCACTTCAGGAGACACCATACCCTTGTGGGTAAAATTACTTGCTGTGGAGGAGATGTGCGTCCATCTCCACCATTTAGTAGATGTGTGAACTTAGTCAAGCCATTTGATTTTTCTGCGCAGCTGTTTCCTCATCCTTGGAGTAGTTGGTCCCGCCCTGGCCAGGCCCACACTGACAGGTGTTTGGCATGGACACATTTATCAGCACAGCGGGGGACACACATTCACCTGCTTTCCTAAACTCCAGGACAATGCTGAGAGTTAGCACCGTACATAGTTTTCTCCCCAAGTCGATAGGCTGCCCGGTAACTGATTCTGTGCCGTGTACATTTAAACCAGTTCGGAATGTGTTGCAGCTAGTGCTGTAAATTTGATCAAAGGGATGTGGGTATGACTCTTGCACAGTCACAGAGTAGCTACGGTTGGACAGTTAAGTTGTCGTCACTTTTCAAGGGGCCACCTTCTGGAAGCTGTGTGCTTGCATCGTGAAGGGAAAGATCTCTGGGAACAGGCCATCCTCCTTTGGTCTTTAACATGGCTTCTGTGTGGCCTTTGCCCGTTTTTTAATTGGATTATTTGTTTTGTTCACTATTGAGTTGTATGAGCTTCTTTTGGATATTGACCCCGTATCAGATAAACAGTTTGCAAATATTTCCTCCCATTCTGTAGATTGCCTTTTTCATTTTGTTGATCCTTTCTTTTACTGTGCAGAAACTTTTTAGTTTGATGTAGTCCCGCTTGTTTATATTTGCTTCTGTTGCCTTTGCTTTTGGTGTTACATCCACAAAATAAGCCAGGACCAACTTCAAGAAGCTTTTTCAGGTCTTACATTTAAGTCTTTAATCCTTTTCAGGTTAATTTTTGTGAATGGTGTAAGAGAGGGGTCCAATTTGCATATGAATATCCAGGTTTACCAACATCACTCATTGAAGAGCCATCCTTCACCCATTGTGTATTCTTGGCTTGCTTGTCAAATATTAGTTGCCCATTCTTCCTGCTCAGCAGGGAGTCTGCTTCTCCCCCTCCCTCTGCCTCTCCCTCCTGCTCAAGCTTTCTCTCTCCCTCTCAAATAAATAAAATCTTAAAAAAAAAAAATACTAGTTGCACATTAATGCACGGGTTTATTTCTGGGTTCTTGATTCTATTCCATTTGTCTGTATATCTCTTTTTATGCCAATACCATATTGTCTTGATTACTATAGCTTTGTAACATAGTTTGAAATCAGATAATATGATGCCTCCAGCTTTGTTCTTTTTCTCCAGATTGCTCTGGCTATTTGGGGCCTTTTGTGGTTCTATATGAATTTTAGGATTGTTTTTTCTGTTTCTGTGAAAAATGCCATTGGGATTTTGATAGAGATTTCACTGAATCTATAGATAGCTCTAAGATGGTAGTATGAACATTTTAAACAATATTGTCTTCTAATCCATGAATGTGGAGTATCTTTCCATTTCTATGTGTCTTCTTCAATTTCTTCTATCAACCTCTTACAGTTTCCAGTGTAGAGATCCTTCACCTCCCTGGTTAAATTTATTCCTAAGTATATTATTGTTTTTGATGCTGTTGTAAATGGGATTATTGTCTTTCTTTTTCAGATAGTTTATTGTTAGCATACAGAATTGCAACTGATTTATTTATTTATTTTTTTAATTCTTATTTATTTATTTGACACAGAGAGAGAGAGAGAGACAGCAAGAGAGGGAACACAAGCAGGGGGAGTGGGAGAGGGAAAAGCAGGCTCCTGGCTGAGCAGGGAGCCCGATGCAGGGCTCGATCCCAGGACCCTGTGATCATGACCTGAGCCGAAGGCAGACGCTTAACGACTGAGCCACCCAGGCGCCCCTGCAACTGATTTTTAAAGAGAACTTTATTTTTATTTATTTATTTGGGGAGAGAGAGAGTGTGTGCTTGTGTGGCTGCAGACGGGGGGAGGGGCAGAAGGAGAGGGAGAGAGAGAATCCCCAGCAGGCTCCACGCCCAGTGTGGAGCCCGATGTGGGGCTCAATCCCACAGCCCTGAGATCGTGACCTGAGCCAAAATCAAGAGTCGGATGCTTAACTGACTGAGCCACTCAGGCACCCCAAAATGCAACTGATTTTTTTTTTAAGATTTTTTTATTTATTCATTCCAGACACAGAAATACAGAGAGAGAGAGAGAACATGAGTAGGGGGAGAAGCAGAGGGAGGGGGAGAAGCAGGCCCCCCGCCGAGCAGGGAGCCCGATGCGGGGCTCGATCCCAGGACTCTGGGATCATGACCTGAGCCAAAGGCAGACGCTTAACCATCTGAGCCACCATCTGAGCCACCCAGGTGCCTCTGCAACTGATTTTTGTATGCTGATTTTGTATCCTGCAACTGTACTGAATTTGTTAGTTCTAACAGTTTTTTTTTTGGTGGAGCACACCAGGTAGTTTATAGAGGAGCCCACAGGTGATATTCAAAGTCCTTAATGACCCTGACTTCATGGGCACTGGGCCAAATAGCACTGATGCCAACTGTAAACAATTGGTATAACCACTTGAGTGTGGACCAACTATACGCAGCCCTAGAGCCAGGTGCTACCCCCATTAAGATCAGAGTTATGCCTTCACAAGACCTTACTCTGCTCTGAGGTTCGGCAGATGCTGCAATGTTGGAGTAAGAGGGTATAGGGATGTGCCCCACCCCACTTCGCACTGCCCTGCCCCCAAGGAGCTCTCAGTTTTGTGGTCCTTCAGCTGCCCCCAAGAACTAAGCAGGGTTGTTCACTCCAGTTAATTCATTTAACTGTCCATATACCAGACTAGGCAATGGGGATAGAGCAATAACAAGGCAGACACATCCCTGGCCCTTATAGGTAAACAACAACACAGTGTAATGTCTCTTGCATATTTTCTACACAGCTGGCTTCATGTTAATCATTTCACATGTATTATCTCATTTAATCCCCACCCAACCCTTTTATAGGCACGTATGCTGAGGCTCAGAGAAATAAGTTACTTACCCAACATCACACAGCTAGTAAGAGGTGAATCCAATCCAACCTCAAAGCCTGCTGGTATAACCCCGTTGCTATGGGACTCCTTGGGGCTCCCTAGAGGACAGATTGCACTCAGCCTGTACCCCCCACTCCCTTTCCAGGTGACAATCTGACCTATGAGCTCAGGAACAGGAAGGGTAAGGAAGAAGAGAAAGCTCTGGATGAATGGATCGAGGTGATGGAGAAGGTGTTACCTCTCTCCCTCATTGCCACCAAAGGAGGCATCGAGTCTCTCATTTCCCTTTGCTCTACTCTCATTGAAAGACAAAAGAAAAGGACACAAAGTAGGTTGCAGGAGCGGGCGGGTAGATGCCACCTCAGGGGAAGAAGTCACATACTGGGGTCTATGGGGGTCTTTCTGACTCTCCTCCATAAGAAAAGCCTTATCTGAGATGGAGGGGCAGCAGTGAGGTGTTGGGGTGTTAAACCCAAGCTGAGCACTGAGCAGTTCTGAGCTGTGGTGGGAGGAGTAATGTGGAGACAGGACCCTGTTGGTGCTTCCTGGGGCTGTAGCCTCATGCAGGTCCTGGGGATCAAGGCTAGAAAGCCAGAAAGGCTAAATGGAGTTTATAGCTAGAGCCCGAAAAACATCCCTTCCTTTCTCCAAATCCAGCTGCAGAGCCAAGAAGTCTAGCGAGACTCAGCCAGAGGCCCTTTCAGAACCTTCTCAATTGTGATAAATTCTCTACATAGTCTAGTGGTAACAGGAAAGGGAAACAAAGCTTCTGAGGTGATCTGGAATCTAAGTACCAGGTAGGCTTCCAGAGTTTGGGTAGTTGGCAGTAGGGAGCCAAACATGGATACTGAGGCTGAGAAGTAGCATGATTAGAAAAGTAACTTTACTCCAGGGAAATATGTAGGATCAGAAGTACATTGAACTGAGTTGAACTGAACTGAATAGTTTCAGGCCCCATGGGCCCTGTAGGTGTCATGGAGCTGGCAGACCCTGATGGGAAAGCTCTGGGCAAGCTCTGAGCCTGGCAGAGACCTCTCCTGACAACATCTCCCTGGCCTCACGTATTGCCTCAGCTCCTTATTCTTGCCAAAGGCCTAAGAGGGTTGGATGGGGAATTTGGCCAAGCAGGGTGTAGAGAATCAGTGTAATCTGTGGCACCCATGGGATGTTGCCTTTGTTCTCTCTACCTCTCCTAGTACCCAAACACACCTTCTGGCAGGGCTGGTGGGAACAAAGCCCCCCCAGATCTGCATCCTACCCTCAGCCACTGAGCCCAGAGCAGATGCTCCAGGACAAGCATACTACGTGCACAAAGGTCTCTGAGGTGACGTCCATGTTGCAGGAGCTCCTGGACTCCACCATGTTCAACCAGGGGGAGGTCAGAGCCATCAGGTACATGTCTACTGTGGTGGAGAACCTCAACAAGGCCTTGACCCTCCAGCACAAGGAGAACAGTAACCTGGAGACCAAATACAGGAACCTGGAAATAGAGATGACCAAAGAACTCAGCAGCCAGAGGCTCTACTTCCAGAATTCCCTCAAAGTTCTCCAGAACAAGAGGGATGCCCTACTAAAGCAGGTGGAAATTCTAGGGGGAAAATACCATGACCTTCTCCTGATAAAGCATGCCTTAGAGTTCCAGCTGAAGAAGGCTCAGTCTGCTAGAGATCAAGCAGAAGAACCGGCCAAGATCTTGGTCGACTCCCTGGGCCCCCCTGAGAAAGAGACCCTCCCAAAGAAAGAAACAGTCATGGAGGAAACCCAACAGGAAGCCAAGAAGGAGTGGTTGTTTTTGTCACTGCCCCCAGGTTCCATGGCCACAGCCTGGGACAGTGGTACTAGGCCTTCAACGTCCCAGCCACTTTCCACCATGACCACACATTCAAGGATTGCAGATATGTACAGCAGCAAGGACACTGAACGTCTCCAGCCTGTGTTGCTGTCCCCGGTGGATCACAAGTTTCCTAAGAAATGGGAAGGACCTATGGCAGAGAGCCCAGGCCACCAAGTCAAAGACCAGAAGGACTTCCAGAAAGCAGCCCAGGAGAAGGAAGAACTCCAAATTAAGTCCCATATTGGGATGCAGCTGTCCCCAGAGAGCTCCAAGAAGGTGGCCTTGGAGAGCAAGGTGGAGCACTGGGAAGAGGAACTCAGCTGGGAGAGGCAGAGGCAGCTGTGGCTGGAAGAGGAGGCCATGTGGCTGCAGCGGCAGAAGAAATGGGCCCTGCTAGAGCAGGAGCATCAGGAGAAGCTGCAGCAGTGGGAGATGGAGGAAGCGGCAAGGGAGCAGCAGCAGAGGTTGGGCCAGCAGGAGAAGGTGCAAGGGGGCCCACGGAGAGAGCCGGAGCAGTCGGGGGAGGACATGGACGGGATGATCTTCACAACCACTGGGCGGTGGAAGGACTTAGAGAAGGCATCACTGGTGCCTCCCCCAAGCCGGGCCCAGTCTGCTCACCAAGTCAGGAGGCCACACTGGCCCAGGTCCCCTAATACCCAGCAACTTGCCCGCAGAAACCAGAGGAACCTGAGTTCCGCCAAGTCTACCCAGAAACCATGGGCCTCCCGGGTTCCCACAAAGCCCAAGAAATCGGCCTCCTTCCCCGTCACAGGGACATCCACCCAAAAGGTGTCCCGGCCTCCCTTGCAAATCTCCCCGGTAGCTCTTAAGGGGAAAGTATACCACATGGACGCAGAGGCCCTGAGGAAGAACCTGCAGCTCCTGAGTGAGGAGGCTGAGCTGGGGCTGCCCCACTCCCTGCGCAGCAAGGCGCTGGAGCTCACCACCACCACCATGGAGTTGAGCGTGCTCCGGCTGCACTGCCTGTGCCATAGGTACATGCTGTACAGGCGCTGCCAGAGCCTCCGGTGGGTACTCCCTGGCACCCACGCCCACCGCCGTGTGTGGGCGGAGCCAACACCCAAACGGAGGGGAGGAGCGCAGGGCAAATGGGGATGGAGAGGTCAGCCCAGACAAGGTCCCCTGAGGGAGGGGACTGGCAAAGGGTGTCTGACCTTGGGGCCTTGGGGGCCAGGCGCTTGCATATACACTCTGCTCTTTCCATCGTGGGCTTTTCCTCTAAGCCCGCTTTTTTATTTCTTCCTCTCTTCCCTTCGCCCTGTCCATAATGTGCCTACTATGCTCCCCTGCTTGCCTTACTCTCTCTTCCTGTTTCCAGCCAGGCCCCGAGGCTCCTCACCTGCCACCACCTCACACTTCTCTGCCTCCTGTTTTCCTCGGCTCTCACCAATCTCTGTTGCTCTTAACAGACTTGCGGGAGCAGGAGGCTCTTCTCGCCCACTAAGCCACTTCCCTTGTTTCCCAGACAGGAAGTGATCAACCACATACAAGTCATGCGAGAAACTGGGACTACCTACAAGGCCCAGAACCTCTACATCTTCCTGGAAAACATCGACCACCTGCAGAACCTCTGGCTGCAGACCTGGGCAGACAAGCAGAAGGACCTGGAGGAGAAGCACCGAGTGTGTCTGAGCAGCATGGCGACCATGTTCCCCAAGGTGGGCCTCCCCTGCCAGGGGTCAGTGCCACCAGGAGGGACAGGGCCAGGAAGTGAGCCAGTGGGGCTGTGGGGCGGGCCTGGGGGCAGGGCAGCAGAAGGAAACTAAGAGGGCAGGTGAAAGCCTCTGAGCCAGGAGGAGGTGAAGGCTGGAGGCGCCTGAGTGGGAGGAAGGGCAGCTTTCCAGTTTCCGTATATGGGGGAGGCTGGGAGAGAGAGAGAAGCCCTCAAAAAGAGCTGTAGAAGAAAGACTTTTCTGGAGAGGGGAGGCAGCTGGACCCTGCAGTCCTGGCTTCATGCTCAAGTTCTCCCTCCCTCATGGGTCCCTCTGCCCCTGCCCCTGTGGGTTCTGGTTGCTCTCTCGGCTTGGTCACAGCTGTCTTTTGCACCCACATGCTCGGTTCTCACTACATTGGTTTTGAGGATGAGAAGGAAAGGGACCGTATGACAGTTCTCTGGGTGGCTGGAAGGGTTCCCTCAGCTCCTCACGCAATGCCAGAAAAAGATACCCAGAGCATTCTAGGCACAACTTGGCCTCACGTCATGAACCCTGAGTGCTCTCTCGAGTTCCCGTTGCTCTGGTTTCCTTCAGTTTTTTTCCTCACTGTTTCGCTCACTGTCCAGCTTCTCCACAACAAAGGAGGAAACAGGAACTAACCTAGCAAATAAAATTCAAGGAATTTTTAGGAAATTTGATACTTGGGGGTCCCAGGGGTCTCTGATTGGAGGGGTTCCCTGGGGCTTACCTTCTCTTCTCAGCCCTGAGTCAGGCTGTGCTCTAGAGAGGGGATACATGCCTGTCTCCCTGATGCCTCTCTGCTGGTTCCTCTAGCTCCACCTGGAGTGGAACATTCATCTGCACACTCCCGTGATCACCAACCCAAAGTCGAGGAAAAACAAGCCACCCCCCTCCTTTCTCCGGCGCATCCACTCCTGTGGTCCCTCCTGCAAGCAGTCCCCAGAGCACTTTACATCCAAGCACTGGGAATGTGTGCCCCTGCGCCTGGCCCGGTATGTGCAGGGAAGCTGACGGGCAGCCTGCAGGATGGGTGGGGAGACAGGGAGCAGACTGGGGGTGGCCAGACTGGGGAGACTGGCAGCTTGGTTAGGGCACAGACAGGCCAAGCTCACCTCATGAGTTGCAAGATGCCTGTCTCCTCAGCCGCCCTGCTCAGCTCTGGCCATTGGCCCAGATGGGTGGGTGGGTGGGTGGGTGTGTGTGTGGGTGTGTGTGTGTGTGTTATGAGATGATGTGGGCTTCAGTGTGTGTGTGTGTGTTATGAGATGATGTGGGCTTCAGAAGCCAGCCCGGCCAAGTAGGTTTCAAACTGCAACTGAAAGATTCTGAGGACCCACAGCTGAGAGCTTAGAACCATTTCTGCCCTGAGCATTATTGGTCCAGCACCTGCTATTGATCTGCCCATATAAACAAGCCTGATACCTTCCCACCATGTAACCTCCAGGCTCAGAAAGAGATACCATGAGCTTCTGGGTGGTCAAGAAGACCCACATCCTCCCCTAGTGTGGCCCTCTGCAGGGCAGCCCTGGGGCATGTGCCTGGAAGAACAGAGGCTATCCCAGCATTCTTCCAGCAGCTCCTCAGCCAGAGGAGCCCCAGGGAGGTGAGGCTTAGGGTTAAGGGGAAGAGAGGTGACAGGACGGTGGTGACAACTATTTGAGAGGGAATGAAAACAAGACCTGATGTTTTGGGCCTTACAGCTTTGGAGAGCTTGTTCCTTCTCCATCTCC